AGTTCCAGTGGACACAGAGAACTCTTTCCTGGGCAACTTTATTCTGCAAGAGAGAAGTAGGGTTGACAGGAGGCATGGAGAAAGTCTACATATTTTTGTTATCCTCTACTGCACAGATCCAGGGTTACTGAACATTAAGAAGTTAACCACTGTAATATAAGCAAAAGTATACATCATAGAACTTATAGGCCAGGAGACATTGTAGGAGGTGACTCATGTTAGTCTATGGTGGCAAAAAATCAAAATTCTGGAAGGACTTTTTTCCAACTAACAAATATTATTGAAAGGCATAAGCTTTCATAAGCTGCAGCTCACAGAAACATATGCTTTTTTATACAAGTCATTAGGGTGAAAAGGTGCTATCAGACTCCTGATTTATATTGCTTGGATAACAGGTCTGCTGAGGACATTTCTTCAGCTCTAAATTTTTCTTGGTATTCTGCTTTTTTTCTTACTATGCATTCATAAGATGGATAGAAAAAGAGGCTTGATGTTTTCCAGGGAGACTTCGTTTACATACCTTGAGGTGCTGAAAAGTGAGGTTGACTGGGATAGAAATGTTCCTTGGCTTGCTACTGGCGGAAGCGCTTACCAGCCTAGAATTCACATGAACATTCATCAGCATTTCATTCTCCAGTAAAGTTTCATTCTGCAGTACAGCTTCTTCTAGGAGTGATTCCAACCCACTGTATGATGTAAAAGCCACAGCAACTGGTTCTGCAACAGGCACATGGAAAATCAGGGAGAAAAAAACAGCCAAAGAAAGTATATATTGTTTTCCCAACTCTGGCAAAATCTTGATAATGAAAGGATCAGTGTAAATACATACATTTATTTCTTGCTAAAATAGATGCTACAAAGTACCCTCTATTCCCATCTTTCCCAATTTAGTGCTTTCTAGATGTGTTAGACTGCAACTTCCCTACAGTAATCCAAAGCAGCAGGATCAAAAGCTCTGCAAACTCAAAAATCCTGGGGTTGCAGCTGACAAGGAGGGAGCGATAAAGTAGACTGTAAAAGTAGTTTTGGATCTACTCTTTAGAAAAACCAAGCAAGATAAGAAAGAGAAATACTTGTGATCATGGCAGTCACTGCTCTGGGGTGAATGATGATTTGGTCTCCTTGAGCTTCTAACTTGAGCGTTTCATTCTTTGGAAAGGATTCTGGATGGATCACATATGTTTGGATCACTGGAATGACAAAGAAATGCTAAGTTATTGCATGGGTCTAATGAATGCTAGTCATTTTTGTTTTTTTATCAGAAACTCATCAGAACCACGTTAGAATAGAGTCAAACAAAATTCCTAATGATAGCACTTGCTTTGAGTAGATGCAGATGCTTTGAGTAGAGCTTTTACCAGCTGATGGTTTATTCATGAAAAAGGGCATTCTAATTAACTGAATTGATTGCAATGATACTGGTCTTATTTCTACATATAATTTTAATTCTATTGTATTTGTCTCCATTTTTTATTAGCTGTTTGATCAATTGTGACAGCTGCTTTGAATGTTTCATAGAAAGGTGGGAATCAAATGTAATTGATAAATAAAATACTGTAAATAAATTCAAAATATATCTGATCACTTATATCCAGGCTGGTACTAAAGAAGTCAGAATTATGAGTTGCCATATGCATCACAAGCTGACGAATGAAAGGAGGCTCAGGACAAGATATTTGACTTGTGCAACATACAGGCAAATGCCTTTCTTTTTTTCTTCAAAGAGAAAGAAGATCCTTTTTCTTTTCCTTACCCATGGAGTTTCGAACCACCGTTTGGGTTTTATTTCCTGAAGGTGCAAGAGCTGTTAATAGTGCAACTGAGCGTACTGTCTCCATAACCCAGGGCAGAACTGTGACAAAATCCTTCTTTAAGTTGATATCCCAGAGGGAACGATTGTCAAAAAGCTTTTCAAAGGAATCCACCAAGTCCTGCAGCATCACAAGAAGCAAATAGATGTCTAAACTATTCAAATCTCACTTAGTTTTTCCCAAGCATTTCATTAAGGAAGCTCTTATCAGGATATTGTAGAAGACACACAATACTTGTAACTTGGATCTTACACTATTATATGGCCATATGGCTGACTTCACATACTGTGCATAGCCAAAAGTTGGTTTTATGACCACAGCCATTGTGACTCATTTCAGAAATCAGTGTCCAAGCAATTTGACTCACAAAAGCTTATGCTATAGAGCATCTCTCAGTATTGAAGATTACGGAAGTCTCTTGTTTTTGATCAAAAGACTTACATGGTTCTCCAATGGAAATGAATCCATGGGTCATGGGTTCTTAATTATTTGTTAATTCTAATTAACAAAATTATATATAAAACTTTATTTTGCTTACCAAAATTAAAAAAAAATATTTACAAAATTTAAAAAACAGACAATGGGATCTAATGAAGTATGGAACTGATGTTTACCTTCACCCTATTTCCCAGAATTTAGTTTCCCTATCTCATTTCCACTAAACATTGAAAAAGTCCCCTTCCCTTCCCTCCACAATACAAATCACATATTGGAACACAGATACAAGCTGAGTTTGGAACTTCATTTGAAAAACGTATTTAATTCCTAGAATAATTGCCCAATTTTTCATCTACCCACTCGCCACTAAGGTACACAATAGGAAACCATACAGTCTTGCTTCTCAAGAAAGAGAAACTATGGTCAACTGTTGTCTGCAGTTCTCAATAAATCTTACATTCAAGGAGGTTTCAGTACCACCAAGATGTTTCAAGAATGTCAAGGTAGGATTCATCACTGAGCAGTATAAACTGTTTTCCTAAAAGAAAAATGAGAAAGGAATCATGTGTTCTTCTCAGAGCTCAGTTGGCAAGTGAAGAAAGAATCTCCCCATAGTTGTTCAGGACAGGATGGTTCACAAGAAACCATCTGGGCCACATATGCAGGCTCAATTCACCAGACTCTCACAGCCATATCAGTTTAATTTTTTTTCCTGGACATATTGATCCAGGGCTCTCTTTTAATTCAGAAACAATGTTCTGAACAAATCTATCAGGGACTGGCAAATCTTTGGGGAGGGAGGAGGGAGGGGGGTTATCGCACATTTCTTTTGAATGCTTTGGTCAGCAACAGGAACTGTAGGAATGATATCATGGGGGGGTTAGTGGCAGGGTTTTCAACACCTGTTTAAAACAAATTTTAAAGTGATTTAAAAAAAAAATAATAGAGCTTCTTAGAAAATTAATTAACCTACAGTATTTGACTTTTTTTTTTTTAAAAAAGGATAATATTACTGCCATAATTTGCCATTGTGATCTGGAGAGGCTTCAAAGCCACATGTGAGGAGGAGTGTTGGAGGGCACATATATCCTAAAGGATGCCCATTCTTTGATTTCTCTGTACATAAATAAGTAGGAATAGGGATATAGCTAGACAACTCAGCAGCATGGCCTTGTGGTCAATGGTAGAGTCAGCATCAAAATGAGAAGGGGAAGGATTTGGGAGGTGGGGTCAGACAAGACTTCATGACAATGGGGAAACCAGCAATCCCATTGCACCGTAGAGCTGCAGCACCAAGAGAAAAGAACAGCTTTGTCATCATTCACATAACCCAAGTGAAACCAGCAATAAATTGACTCAGCTCCCCCCACTCCCAGCTGATAGTATGAGATCAAACAGGTCACAATTGATTGTGAACTGCTACAAAGACCACATACAGAAGTTCCTTGGGGTTAATAGCTTGTAATTGTTCAAATTAGTCCTTTAGCCAATATACGTTTCACATCAGCTACTCTCAGTGCTTCATTCTATAGTATTGGCAGTATAAACACCTTGATTTAAAAATTATACAAATTTAACATATAATACACTTACTGGTTTTATTTCATTTGAGCACTTAGTTGAATTGATCTTTTTTATCACTTTTTCTAATTGGGAGTTATGGGGAATTTCTGTGAAGGAAAATATAAAATTGTAAGTACAATGTGTATTGTCTAGTTAAAAAGTAAAAATACTCTGATGGATGACATCTCTCAAACTCAGGGGGGAAAAAAGAAAAATCCTGGCCCTTCCCTGGTGTATGAGACAACCCCCTCCTCCAAATTTCATGGTGCCCCATCCCTTGTGTAGACCCACTGGAGCAAAACAATAATTTTGTTACTGTTGAGAGACAAAATAATCTATTTAAGATTCTTTTGTGGGCTTCTTACAATTTGACCTTATGAGACTTTACTCAGAAATAATTCCTATTCCCTCTTTTAAAAAGACAACACTTGATCTAGGCAGTTATAACGAAATTTATAATCAACAATTAGACATTTCCAATCTTTCCATTTTACAATAAGTTCTGGAGAAGGTGATGGAACTTCATTTGCAGAGGGTTCTAGAAGAAACATATTTTCTGGACTCTTTTCAACCAGGGCTCAGGCTGGGCATGGGACAGAAACAACACTGATTGTCCTGGTAGATGACCTTTTTTGGGAACCTGGATGGAGTGTACCCCTCATGGTCCTCTTAGATCTTTCAGCAGCATTCAACACTCTTGACCATGTTATGCTTCTGGAGCACATGCGAGGGTGGTGTTGGAAATTATATCATCTCTTTGCACCTATGAGCTGTTTTGATCATTAGAGCAAATGTTGAGAGATAGATAAGGGCAACATGTTGTTTACAAGTTGTCCTTGGTCTATTTGGCACCAGGCCTACTGTTATTAAATGATTCTTTGTTTAAGAGACAACAGGGAACTACCTCTCCTTCTCTTTTTCTCTTCTGCTTCCCTCTTTTCAAGATAGCTACAGTAAATAAATGTGAGGCTTTTCTATCCTCATTTGTTTCTGTTTATGTTCAGGTCATGAGTATATCCTTTAACAAAGTATATCCTTTAACAAAGGCTCCTGCTGAATTCAAATTCCTATGGTTGAGGATTGGGGGAACTCTGCAGTGATTCCACTCCTTCCTTACTGGACAACTTCAGCTGCTGTTTGTGAGAAAAGCCCTTGAGACAGTGGTTGCTCCAATGTGGGGTACTATGGGGTTCAATCCCCCCCCCCCCGCTATTTAATATCACCATGAAACTTCTGGGAGAGATCATCTGTCAGTTTTGGATGAGATATCATCAATATGATGATGATACTTATCTATACATCACCACTCCAGGCTGAGCCAGGTACACTGTGGAAATCCTGACCTGGAGTCTGGAGGCTGTGAGTGTCTAGATGGGACAAAACAACTTCAGATTAAATCCCTGCAAATTGAGAGAGTTCTGTTTGTTGGTGATAGTTCTGGCTTTATCCTAATCCCAGTTTTAAGCCTTGATGGAGTTGCCTCCCCCATAAGCAGCAACTCTGCAATTTAGGGTCCTTTTGGACCTGCTGTTCCCGCTGAAGCAGCAAAGAAAAGCTGTGGCCAGGGGGCTTTGCCTCTCTCTGGCTGGTGTACCAATTTCAGACCTACCTAGATAGGGATGGTCTGACTACAGCAACTCATGCCCTTATCACCTCTCAGACTGTTGCCACACAATCTACAGTACTTGGGGTTGCCTTCAAAATGACCTGAAGTGCATCACCTCATCAGCTTACCTGAGTTAGAGTACTCATCCATGTTATATCTTTGTTACCATTGCTGCGTTGGGTATGATTTGATTCTGAGTCCGATTCAAAGTGCTGGTTGTCACCTTTACAACTCTACATAGCTTGGCTCCCAGATAACTACAGGACTGCCTCTCCTTTAAAGATACAGTCTGCCTGAAGCAGGAAGGAATTTTAGAGGATCCCCACTCCTACTTCTTTGTATGGGCCTAGGCTGCGGAACAACTTTTCTCGTAAGCTATAGAACCTCCTTGCCTTTCATAAATTGCTTAAGACCAGGCTGCTCTGCTGATCGTTTTTGTGAGCTGTTTTTTTTAGAGAGATTGTTAGATGCTTCTTGCTGCCATTTTATTATATGTATCTTTTGTAAACCACCTTGCACCATTTGGAAATAGGTAGTATATAAAACCATATAATAAACAAATAAACAAAAAAGTACTTGAAGTCATTCAGTGACATTGATCGGAAGGACGGTTGGAATAGAAAATGCACTTCTTTTGACAGTGCATAATTAACCTGAGGAATTCATTACCACAAAATCTGGTACTGGTCAGTAACTTGGATGGCTTTAAAAGGTGATTAGATAAATTCCCACAGGATAGGTTTATCATATTGGGTTTGAGTTTCATCTGCGGATTATGAAAACTACAGGGCATCTGGTTGGCTGATGTGAGAAACAAAATGCTGAATGAAATGGAGCTTGGCCTAATTCATTGGGGTACTCTTTGTATTAATTTGTAAGAAAAATATTTATGTGCAAAAACCAAGAAGCCAAATAATCCCATTTTATTTATTTTATTTCTGTGCTAGAGAGAATGTACTGTCCATGCAAAACTCAAGATGAAATGTCTCTTCCCCATCCCATTTTTAAAAAACCTTCTGTATCCTTTGATGTCTACAGTGGATGAAAACAGTAAGCCAATTAGCTGCTTTTAAATGTTAATAATTGCCAGAAGTTCTAACTTTTTATCTTTTGAGAAGAATGCCATCAGTGAAGCCTTGCAGCCCTTTGTTCTCAAACCCAAATTTATGCCATAGTCCTTTACTAGTCTGTATCTATTTTAAAATCCTTACCATCTACCCATAATAGAATGTTGTCATTGATCAAGACATTTGTAATGGCTGAAAATCACTATTCTATTTGTTTCATTCAGTTAAGCTCAAGAAGATGTAATTGAAAAGAGTTGAGGAATGAATACACTTACTCCCAGAAATAGTATTACCTGATCCTATCCTGTTCCATTCATCATCATTATGACAATTATTGTAATTTCTGCCTGGAAAAATAAACAGGACATTTTCAATGACCATATTCATTTTAAGCAAAATTAAACACAGGAATGTGCCTTCCTTTAACCACAGTTATTCAGCATAAAATAACTGAAGATTTTAGGAAGATATAGATGACTGGCAGGTGGGGTATGGTCTTGATTTATTATACACAGTAGTACCTAATGCATCTTGTTATAAAAAAGGCAAGATATGTTAGGAATATAACATACTTAAATTCTTTGCATTTTACCGTGGTTGGATTCTGTCTTAACATATGCCCAGTTTTCATTAAGAAATAGCCAGTGATATGGAGCAAAGGAAGCGGGTAAGTGTCATCAATGGAAGGGGACAGGCCCTAAATCAATTTATCAGCAAGCATTCAAGGGTGGCATTGGGTGGAAGAGGCAGTTGAGTCAGACAGCCAACTATGTCCAGAGTGAGGTAAGATATCAAAGGGCCAGACCCGCACTTGGTATATGTCAAGCTTTTGAGGTAGCCTAGACAAGAAGCACCAACCATGAGTATTGATACTACCTTTACTGTGAGGTTACATAACAGAATCTTGCAAGTCTGAAAGTACCTCTCCCCTCCTTTACTTTTACTCTCCCAAAAACTAGGGAGGGTCTCTTCTGAGACTCTTTCTTCACTCCCACACCTCCTTTGGACTCAGATTTTCTTTATCAGACCATTGCCTAGGCTGCAGCTCTTCCTCCTGTCTCCCAAGGTCACTCCCACATACCATTGTATCACTACCCCTGTCAGCCTTAGTCCCCCCTCCCGAGTTCCCAGGGAAATCAGAGTGTAGGCTATAAGAATGAAGTGCAGCTGTGTCCTTCCCCATTTCTGCTGAAAACAAGATCACATGAGATGAATTGCAACACAGCTATATCTGGAGACATGACTTCCTCCTGTCTTCCAGGGTCATTCTCACATACCATTACAGTATGGTAGCCAGTGTGCGATAATAATACCTCAATACATTGAATGCCTGGTAGATATACCTTAGCTATTTTTAAATATCTAGTAAATTGTTGCAATAGCAATACAAATTGTGATCCTATCTTGGTTTTGGCATGATTTAAGTATTTCAAGAATTGCTTAATACCAGGGCTAGAAGCTAGAGTGGGAAGCTGAAAACAAAAGAAGGCAGTGGCAAATATTTTCTGTCCTACGACCAAGAAAACTAGATGGATGTGTCTATGAAGTCACCAGAAACTGATATTCACTCAAAGGAAATGTTTCATGGTCTATGCCAAAAGAGGAATCTACTTTACTGGGGTTCAGAGATGAGAAGCTGAGTGTGGCCCATTGGCTGCCCACTCTTAGCTTAGCAAGTTTTTGAATCCAGTTTGTATTTTATGTGTCAGAGAGATAATAGGGGTGGCCATTATAGGATGGCTAAACTGATTTTAACCTTGGCTTTCCCCTCATTTTGAAGGGGGTACTCATTTCAGCAAGACCAGTGGTGTCCATGAGAGGGGCATGGGGGGGGGAGTGGGCAGAATGACAAAAGCCCTATTGCAATATAAGCCCCATCCTTTTTTTTATGCACTATGACACCACATGAATGTATAAAAGGGCTAGAACTTGCAATGTGACAGTGCAATGCTACTTTCATCATTTTGAAAATAGCAGCAAGATCCTGCAGGTGGCCATGGTGAACACTCAGCAGGCAATGCAGTATCACTGAATTAAATAATTCTGTCTGGACTACATTGGGTGCAACATGTAATGTGATTACATTTCACTTCACTTTATGCATTTGGAGATTACATGTGATAAGGAGGCAGACTTGGTGTAAAACTTACCCATCAGAAGTGAGACAAGCCGCATGAACCACCCTTCTGCAGCACATGTTTCTACAGAAGAAAGCAATTTCTGTCAATTTTAAGCCAAATCCAGCTGAGCAAGACTGCTAGAGCTTCCTTATGACATAAGGATATAAGCAACATTAGATAACTGCAAGTTATATGGACATTATGGAATATTTAGCAGAAAGGAAAAAGGAAAGGAAAACCAGAAAGGAAAAAGAAACCAAAAGGAATGGAAATGTGTCCAAAGACTTAAGTGATGCCTACACTATGAGACAGGTCTATGCAATTTTTGGCAACATTTTCAGAAGGGGTTTGCCACTGGCTCCTTCCTAGGGCTGAGAGAGAACCAGCTGGATGACTTTGGGCTAGTCATTCTCTCTCTCTCCCTCCCTCTCCATGCTCCATGTAGTCTCCGGAACTCAGATTGATTCAAAGGGACCAAAGAAAGAAAGGGGTGGGGGGAGGATTGGTACAGATGTTCTGAAAACGATCACCGCCTCATTTCTGCATTAGGAGTTTATCAAGTTCCTACTATTCTATTTCTCAATCTGATAAAGAGTGTCACAAACATAGAGCTTGTCACAGGTTTCATGTTGTTAATCTTGCTGATATATCTCTTCCCACAAAATGTAGCTAGATACAATCATACACCTAATAATTCTTTTTGTGATCTTTTCAGTGCAGTAGTTTCCTTACATGCATGTATTATATAGAACTGCCAGTGATAAAAAGGGAAGCTGGCAAGAGAGAAGCGTCTCTCAATTATCACAGTTGCCTGCTTTTTTTTTTGCAGAGCGGGAGGGGGATAGTAGCCACATCATCAATAGGTACAGAAAAACTACCACTCCCATCGGAAGCTTCGTCCCAATTGCTGAAGTAGCCCTAATTGGGCCAGTTGCAAAAAGATGTATTGACTCCCTCCAAGTTAGCTAGCAACTCCTCAGTGTTGCTAACAGAAGCTTTTTTTTCCACCTCAATGTCTCTGAGTTGAGGCACATGCATGGTGCATAGAAAAGTAAATAAAGCTGAAGATGGAACAGAAATGTGCGCCAAATGCAAATGTTCTGAATTAACTCAAGTTTTTTCCTACAAGCTGGAGATTAGAAGGATTGGAATGCAAGTGGGTTGAACCCACAGAAGGCTAAAAGCATGGCATGCAGGTTAATTTTGCAAATAGTTGAAAACTGAGATTGTCCATTTGTATTTAGTTTTAACTCTATAAATCCATAATGTATAATCTTCACTAGAGAATTAGATAAATACCAATATATTCCATAATTTGGACAGGGTTCTCCTACATTGAGTTCTAATTTTTATATCTGCCATAGATTTATTTTATCAGGAAAAATAACAATCTGTCAATAAAGATTCCATCATGACATGAACATAAGCAGGCATAATACTTGGCAGTCTTGGTGCAAAGATGCTGCCTAAAACTGGACATGCGAGGAAAGATGTATACAAAAAGCACCTATTTCTCTGCCAAAGAAAAAGAGCATTTATTATGAGTACCTACATTTTAAAATGTTTTTATTTCAGAAGAGTTATACTTGCCTATACTTATTGGAGATGACTCTCAGGTTGTGCACATGTGAGGCTACCACACAAAGGGAAAGTAACCTCACCTGAGCATCTATGCATACAAGGACACATTCAGTTTCCCTAATTTTTCCATCTTTCCCTCCTGACCTTTCTTCTGCACCACTTGTTTTGCACAGATCTGTAGGTCACACATGTAATTTCTATTGCACATGGAAACTGCAGCTCATTGCAAAGAATATATATATAAAAGCTGACATTCAAACTATAAGCTCAACCAGTGTTTAGCATCACCTCTTTATACTATTGCTGAGAAGATAAATAAGTTTTACCTTTCTTATCTGCACAGACCATTACCAATCCAAGACCTAAAATAAATGAAATACAATTATAATATT